AATAATATCACTCTCATTCTATACTATTCATTTCCATAATAATATCACATCACTTTTTTTCATTCTATACTATTCCATTTCCATAATAACATCACTCATTCTATACTATTCCATTCCCATAATAATATCACATCACTCTTTTCTCATTCTATATATTCCATTTTCATTTCTATCCCAAATCATTTATCTCTATGTGTATTATAAACATATTAATTCTAATTATTTCACTTATTATTTTTCCATAAATTTTTAACATAAATAAATTATTAAAGGTTTAATTAAGGCTTGGAAAGCCGAAGGTTTTCAAATTTCAACAAGCTCTAATGAAGCAGCTCGTTTATTTGATGCACTTTTGCGCCAATATGTTTCCTGGAGTGATTGCGCCCAACTTGGCGGAATGGATGAAACACTTAATAAGATGATTGAAGCAGAGCCAAATGCCAGTAAAATAATCCATTCATTTCTTTTCTTTTTTCCATATTACTTACAAATTAATGTTTTGAATGATAATGACAGAATAACATTTCGACTGATAACGATAAATTTTGAATGATAATAACAGATTATCGTTACGACTGATAACGATAAATTTAGAATGAATAATTTGGATGATAACAATATGAATGATAAAAAATAAAAAATTCTGAATGACAAATATGAATGATAATGATAGATTAAAGTTTTAAATGATAATCGTTTTGAATGATTACGATAAATTTTGAATGACAAATGTGAACGATAGTGATAGATTAACGTTTTGAATGATAACGATAAATTTTGAATGATTGATTTGAATGGCAATAATAAATTAATATTTTGAATGATAACAACGATATGAAGGCTCAGTTAACCTAATTTGCTAACTTTATCAGCATATCATCATCCTTTTGATTGTCTTATCAAATATATTATGTATTTTTATGCATAATTTTAATTCTATTGAAATTATGAGAAATATTTTGAATATTTTATTATAATAATTTCTGGCTTAGTAATGAGCCAAGTGTTATCATTGGGCTTGGAAGCGATGGGAACAGGACGATCGATAAGATTAGATGATAATTATCAGAACGATTTAAAACAACTCCTAAAAGATGCATCTATGCATGGCACTACATATGAGAAGAATCATGCAAATGCTATTTACATGTTTGCTAATGAGTTAGTCAATCCATATTTATCACATTTAATTAATTAATTAATTAATTAATTAATTTATCGTTATCATAATCAAAATTTAAATTAGTGTTACATTTGAAATCATTATTATTACTTTAAAATTAACACTTCATTAAATTAATTCATTATGTATTAGAAAGAAGATAACATGAGAAATTAAATTGTAATTTTTAACAATAAAAATTGTTTCTTTATAATGCTATTCTATCTATCACAACAATTTTCATTAACTAATTAATTAATTAATTTTTTTTTTTGAAATTAACATCATTTCGAAAATTTTTTCAATTTTTGCTTTTAAATTTATAAAAAAAATTTAATTAAAAATAATTTTTTAATTGAAAAATTGAAATAATTTTCTTTTCATTCTTTCCTTCTTTTTTTTTTTTCTTACAGTAAAATGATAGCAGCATGTGAAGAATGGGAAAAAATTTTAAATGAAATACCAAATGATTTATTAGCATTAAAATTTGCGCATGATGCGTATTTTTATTTGGGTGATAAGCAATCAATCCGTGATAGTATTGCCCGAGTATTCCCGAAATGGAAATCAACAATACCATGCTACAGGTTTTTTCTTTTTTTTTTAATTCCTTAAATATCGAATGATAGGTAATATATCCTGTATTTAAAAAGAAATCTAATCGATAAGTTTTTTTTCTGTCTATTTCTTTCTTTTTTATTTTTCAAATTTAGTAACAAAAAAGTGAACTTTCTATTCTTAAATTAAATGCATCAAATATTTCATAGAAAATTATTCATTATTAAACCTTAAATAGGCTAGCATTCAGGAAAAAATTTACTAACTGCTTATAAAATAAAAAGGTTATTTTAGGAAAAACAAATTTTTTTTTTTTTTTTTTGCTGAAAAGAACATTTAAAATGAAAAAGTTAGCAATGAAAATTTTTTAATTTGAAAATTTATCAAATTCTTATAAAATTTAATTTAACAAATTCTTTGGAAAAAAAATTTTTTTGCGAATTATTTCAAACAATGATGATTTTTTACAATTTTTTGTAACAAAATAATGTATTTAATAGATAATTTTTTTTTTCTTTTTGAGAAAATGAACTTGCACCTGCAAAAATCTTTGAAAAAAAAAATTTTTTTTAATTTCAGATAATAATGATTATACAATTTCAATTATGATATATTTAATCAATATTTAAAATAGAAATTGTTTTTTTTTTTTATTTCAAACAATGACGATTTGACAATTCCTATTACGATACATTTTATGGATATATATATATATTTTTTTTTTGGAAAAATGAATTTTCCATTCCTAAATTAATTAATCAAATATTTCATACAAAATTGATCCATTATTAAGCCTTAAATAGATTAGCTTCTATTGAAGTGGTATCGATTTACCAAAAATAGAAAAACTTAATAACTCATTGCATTTTTTTTTTCAATTCCAAATACTTTTAGCTATCTTCATGGTATGTATGCATTTGGCTTAGAAGAATGTGAACAATATGATGAAGCGGAAAAATATGCTAAAAAGGTTTAATGTCCAATCTTATATCCATCATTTAACTAAGGATAAAAATTTAATTCATTATTTAAAATTTCTAAACTACCATTAAATTAGCCCTAATCATTTATTCCTCATTTTTGTCCATTTCCTTTTTATTTTTCATATTATATCATATCCGTATCATATTTGTATACATTTAGCTATGTGAGTTCCGATATT